TGGAGCGGGGCCGGGGATGGGCCGGCACTGCCCCCGGGGGGCGGGGCTGGGCGGGGCCATTGAGGCGCGGGGGCTCGCTGCGCATGCGCGGTGGCGGCGCGGCGGTGACGGTGACCGGGACGGTGCGTGGCGCGCGAGCGTGGCGGGAACGGCCCGACCCGAACCCACGGGACCCCCCGGACCGGACACTGCCCACAGGAACCCCCCGGACCGGACACTGTCCCCTGAGCCCACCGGGACCCCCGGACCGGACACTGCCCCCCGGGATCCCCCTCGGACCGGACACTGCCCACAGGGACTCCCCCGGACCGGACACTGCCCCCCGAGGCCCCCGGGATCCCCCCGGGCCGGACACTGTCCCCTGAGCCCACCGGAACCCCCCGGTACCACGCCGGGGTCGGGGCCGGGTGCCGTCCCCCTCACGCTGCAGCCCTGAGGGGCTCCTGGCCCGCCGGCGCTCGCCAGAGCGGATCCCGGTTTCAAGCAGAGAAACCAGTACCAGGCCACGGCTGTTCCTGCCAATCTTATTGCCGATATTCACAGAATCTCGGAATATSCCGGGCTGGAAGGGACYCACGTAGATCACCAGTCCAGCCCCGKCYCTGCACAGACACCCCAACAATCCCGCCATGGGTATCCCTGGAAGCGGATCCCCAAAYGCTCCTGCAGCTCAGGCTGTTCAGAACGGTTTATATTCAGGCATTTCTGTGGTTTCTGCTAATTTCCTRTCTTTATTCCTGACTGTATTTTATTCCTTAATGTACTGGAGTTTCCCTCACAAACCTTGGCTGGGGATCATCCCTGTGTGCTCTGCAGGGGATGCCCCAGAGGCCACATTAGCAGAGATCTCCTCCACAACTCTGCCTGTCAAAGTTACAGAATTAATCCTGTGTCACTCTGCAGGATACATTGAGAATTTGCTATTGCAAAGGAGGTCTTGCTAAAACAGAGAAAAATGACCGAACCTTAACTCCCGAATGTTAAATCTTTTCTTTTTTCCACTTTTTAGGAGGAAAAATTAGGAAATGGCAGAAGCAGTTTTTCACCCTCCAAGAAGGAAAAGAAGAGTTTTTGAGTCGTATGAGGCTCCCTTTCCTGTGGATGTAGGGGGGAAGGATTTCAGAATATGCCAGGCTGAGATCATTAACAACAATGTGATTGTGAGGAATCCRGAGGATATTGAACAGCTCTACAACAAGGTGCTGTACCCTGTTTGCACAATGTTTTTAAGTGTTTTAAATGCGAGTAAAACAATGCTTGTACAAATCTGCTGCCTTTATGCTTTCCTGCMCCTTCAGCCTCCTGTGATTCTCCATATTTTCCTTCTATCCTGAAATCAGTACCAAAAATATGTTCTGTCTCAGATGTGAAGAGTCTTATCCAAGCAGGTGAATTTTGAATGACATGATATTGTGAGCTAAGAAACAGCTGCAAAGYTTTCATGCTTGTTTATGTCTCCTTTCAACATTTCGTGCAACTTTTCAAAGCRTTTTCTTGTTTTTAAAGCTCAGGAAATACTCATGTTTTATAAATGTTTGTATGGTTCTTTYAACTTCAGAGTGATTTATTCCTTTGTAAAACAAGCTGTGTTGAGTTTTTTGTGTTTGAGTACCATTTCAGCAGCATTCTAATGCACTGCTGTCTCTTTGGTTTCAGGTGYTGTTTTCAAACATTTAAAGATGGGAGATGTTGGCTGACATTTAGAATTCAGGAAAAATACCCAACATCTCCAGGCTAAATGGGATTTAAAGACCTGCTTAAATCAGGTGTTTAATACTGAACCAGTTACCAACAGCTAAAAAAGCTTTAGGAAAAGCTTAAATGTTTCAGGAGTTCTGCTATTTATTCCAGATTATGTCAGCAGTGCATGTTTTATAACGGGAAAGAAGCTTGTTTTTGTGCCAGGAGATAATAGGGGTTTTTTTCCTTTCCTTTGCAGGGCTATTTTGGAAAAGGGATTCTTTCCAGGAGCCGTCCAGTGTTCAGCATATCAGATCCTCTACTGATGGCCAAGTGGAAAGGTAAATGTGGCCTGTTTATAATTCATCCCTGCTTCAGTAGCTCCTCTCCCTTTCCCTCACTSAGTGAAGGTGTATTTTTATAAATTACATGCAGAAGAATAATCTGCTGTGTCAGGTTGAGGATATCTCTCTCCCCATCCCTTGTACCTGGGGAAAATCCAAGAATATGAAATGTATGTGGGTAATTTCTTAGTGCATTCTCCTAAACTTTCACTGAATTGTTGCTTGGGAAGTCGGAAGTAAAGGGATCATGCAGGGACTTTTCATCTAAATCTCCAATTTCCCTTGGCTTTGATCTGCAGATTTTGGTGTCCCTGAAATCACAAGGGAAGGGTTTGTGAAGTTTGAAGTCTCGTAGTTAGTCTACTAACTTGTAGCCAGTGACACCCTGTGTGCTCTTGGCTGTTTATAGGAAGAATCATTCTTTACCCATCTCTCCTGTGACAGTTAAATCCCARTGGCMATCACTGGATTTTATCCTATTCCTYCATAACTGTCTGGAGAAAAAAGCTGTATTTAGTTCTCCTGTGCAGGCTGTTCTCTCTGCCCTTCACTGGTTCTGCTGTGTCCCTTCTTGAAAAATGGGATCAGAATGGCACTGAGGACTAAAAATGGGAGTAATTACCACCTCAGTGATCAAAACTGCAGGAAACCGGCTTTAGATGGATGAAACAATGTATGGTTTTTATTTTTCCAGGTGTTAACACAAGCATGCCCATAATTACGTCTCAAAAGTAAGTTCACTTGCTTTTTTCTTGCTGTTTTTAGGAAACTGATTGTTCTGGTTTATATATTTCTTACTGGTTTTCAGGTTGTTGGCTGTATAAATAGCGAAGGTGACTTGCTTCTTTTTCTTTCCTCATTATTAAATTTATAAATCACATTAGAAGAAGTAGAAATAGGGTAGGGGATGATATTCAGGGTGKTTTTTCATGTATGCTTACAGGTATTGATTGCTGAATAGAAGCAAAGGCTGAATGCATGCCTAGTATGGGCAATTAATTCATAATAATAACAAGCACAGTAAATATTCCTCAGGTGAGAAGYAGGAAAATAAATTCCTGGGGCAGGCTGTTTAAAATACCTCTTCCATTTCCTTATGGAATTTTTATAGTGTAGGCTGAAGCAGCTCTTGAATTCTTATAATGCATTGATATTTTGCTTTTTTTAAGTATCAATTAGCATTGGCAGTTTGTACACTTAACAAAACAGTGTTGGACCACATACTTATTTTATTCTGCCTTAGTGTATAAACCACTGAGCATGTGCAGATGGGTTACTCAGTTGGTTTTAATCTTATGATAACTCTAAAAAAATTCACTTAAACTTGACAATTAYGCCACTTCAGCCCTCAATTTTAGGTAAGAAAAACAGTAAACAATGTTATTACTAATGCTGCTGCAGTTCCTACTGCTTGCATATGCTGAGCATCAATGAAAGTGTGATTTTATTGGTGGGCAGAATGATCTGCCTCAGTAGAAACCTGCAAGTGCAGATTTTATGGAAATTAAATAATAGGACAGAGGAGTGACTTYTGTATAACAAAGAGCCCAGCAAGGAATTATCCAGCTTTATTAGGAGACTGCAGAGGGACTTGTATTTGTGTTGACACGTGGAATTTGCATTTAATTGTCTTTGTAGTTCTTCATTACCTGGGCTGTAATTGCTGCCTGAGGATTTTGTTCAGGGAAATAAAAAACATGGTACAAGATTTGTCCAGGCTGGAGGAAGAACAGCAGCACTCAGCTCCCTGCAGCTTTCACAGAGTGAAGATTTGTGTTTCAACTGGATATTAATGATATTTTCCAAGAGAAGGAACTGAAAGGGCACTAAAAACTCTATTGGAAAGTATTAGAAATAGTAACTGAAAGCTGTAAATACCTCGCTGATGGGATTATTGGTATTTTTCAGGGATATAGCTGAGGGTTTTGGTTTAGAAAGGTAGTTTCTGCTGGAGATTTTTAGATTGGTATTTTTGCTGTGCCATTGCTGTTTTCAGGGTAGTTAAAGCAAAATTTTGGAGCTCCTGCTCTCAGTACTTGGCTGTGTGATAGCTGAAGGGCTATTAGGGCTYTGCAGGCAGAGTTTGTTCCATGTTTTAATCCTGCAGTTCCTGATACTAGCATGGTTTTGTGGGGAATTCAGTTTTAAGGCTTCATGGGAGGAGGGACTTTCCTGCTTCTGGAAGTWGCACAGCAGCTTGTGCAGGGCTCAGGAATGGTGTTTGCTGTCTCAGGAATTTAAAAGGCCAAGCAAAGGCAGAGGCTCCCTGAAAACTGGGGCCCCATTKCATCGATCACATTTGTGCACAGCAGCTGCTGGGGTGTGTTTGTGGCTCTCCTGAACCTTTTGGGGTTTAAAAGTGTTAATGAAAGATGTGATGCCCTAGAATTCCTGATTTGTTCTGTTCCCCAGGTACCAGCGGCGCGTTCAGTGGGCTAAAAGTGTCCTGCAGGAGCAGGGGCTCGATGACTGCTCCGTTACCAAAATCCTGGACAATTACACCAARCCCCAGGGGCTGCCCTTCTCCAAAGGGAATGGGGCTGAACAAACTGGAGACAGCTGCAGCAGAGTGGGCCCAAACACAGAAAATACAGAACTTTGCCAGAAATCCTCTGGCCATGAGGATCCTGAGGGTCAGAAYGGGGGCTCTGAGAAGGAAGGAGATGCAGCCATGGATCCTGGGAGTGGCTCCAAGGACCAGGAACAAGGGGATTCCAGAGAAATGGCTGAAGGGTCSTGCCACAGGGACCCTGCTGTGCACTGTGGCTGTGAGGTGAAGCAGAGCCCTGAGCAGAGGGCTTGGGAGGGGATGGACTCAAGGGAATGTGCTCCAGAATATGTGCTGGTGCAAGAGGAGGAAGAAGGAAGCTCTTGTCCTGAAGATGACTCCACTCATGCACAAGGGAATGTAAGGAAAAGGAAGATCCTAATCTTTTAGAAAATGCTACTTTCAGTATTCAGTATTTTTTTTTCCAGTTTAACTTTTTAGTAATACAGTCAATTTTTCTTGTAGCCTGTCAAGAAGGAAGTATTAGTATGCAGAAAAAACCCATTTCGGATTTTTGAGTACTTACAACTCAGCCTGGAAGAGGTAAGTGTCAAGCACAGTGCAAGTTGGTTTGCTTTTCATCTGAAAAAGTAAACTCTAATCTGTGTTCAATGTCATTTAACACCTGTTTCTGAAGTACAGGGTCCTCCTGTATCTTCTAACATAGTATTGTTTTAGTCATTAAACTTAATTTTAATAACCTGTGATAATTACATGAGATGGTTAAAAAATTGTTAAAAGTCCAATCCCACCTGTTTTAGATGAAGAATCCCACTGACAAAGAGACCAGTGACAAGGCTTAAATATAGAAATACCAAGAATATAGCATGTTTATGAGTCCTGGTTCAGTTGTGCTGCTTCTAAATAAATTTATGTGTTAGTTGTAACACCAAGCCTTCAGCATGGATGACATTGGGACTCTTGTATTTAATTAATTAAGCCTTTCTTCTTGCAAAGCTTTGCATATAAATTACAGGAAGAATGTGGCTGTCAGTTCAACTTACTCTGTTTGTTTTTTCAGGCTTTTTTCTTGGTTTATGCTCTGGGATGTTTGAGCATTTATTATGGTGAGGTAAGAGATTTGGATTGATTTTGGCTTACTGGGGATGGTGTTTGTTTGGATATGGTTTGACCTGACATCTTTACCTATATGGGAGCGATTTATGGTGTTAATTCTGGAGCAGGAATACCAAACAGAGTAATTGGGAAGTTTTTCTTGCCAGTGATGGTATTTCTGTTTAGGAAATACAGATCAGAAAATTTGAAGTTTACCAAGACAAATATAATTAAGCAGCTTCTCTATAGAGACAATATTTTTGTTGTAACTTATTCAGGAAATGTGGGAGAAATAATATGGCRAATAGTCACACCTGAAATGGCAAAATTCCTTGGAATTAATTAAAACATTAATTATATCAAGCTATTATTCATGTAATGACAATAATTCAAGCCAGTGCTTTCAGTTTAAAATTTATCAACTTTCCCTTTACACTAGGGTATTATGGGACTGATTGTGAAATGCCTAAAAGACCCACTAAGKGGAGCAACAGGTTCCTGTCTTGAATTTAGGGATTCTGTGTTTTCCTGCCTGTGGTTCATGCTCTGTGCAGCAGACTGTGCTACTTGGTATTTGGTTGTTATGATATTTGATACTTGGCTGTACTGCTGTGTGTAGTAGAGCATAACCGGTTTATGTCAGTGCAGTGATGCCCTTGTGTGTGGTTTTCAGGAGCCCCTGAGCATTGTGAAGCTGTGGGAAGTGTTCAGTGAGGTGAAGCCAGATTTCAAAACCACCTACATGGCCTATCACTACTTCCGAGGCAAGGGCTGGGTGCCCAAGGTGGGGCTGAAGTATGGCACGGATCTCTGTGAGTACCTCCCCAAAAATGGGATCATTTCCAGCTCACTGCTCCTCCAGGCAAGGCAAAACTCCAGGGCCAGCAAGGAATCAGCAGTGAGGAGCTGCAGGACTGGAGCAGCCTTTGCTGCTTGAAGTTGGCAAAGGACATTTGGGGTTAGCAGCRAAGTTGGRATGTGARTGGAARGGAACATCCTRTAWTCAGTAGCTGATGTCCCTTGGACATTTAGGGTTAGCARCAAAGTTGGGATGTGAGTGKAAAGGAACATCCTGTATCCAGTAGGTGATGTCCCTTGATGGAAGGTCTGGTTTGCTTCATGAAGTTAATAATCCCTTACAGGATTGCACTGAAATTCCCTTCCAAAGTTTCTCTATCCCTTTCTAAACACATCTTCTGCAGTGTTAATGTGACAGTTTCTAGAATAACAGGTTAGAATTCCGATCCCARTTCACAGTTCATGCACCTCATTCATCCCTTTTAATAAAAGCTGGACTTCTGCTGAATTTACTGCTAACACTGTTCTCCATATGAATTTTTTTGAGGGAGAGGGGACTTGTTTTTTTATTTTCTGAATGGTTGGAGGTTAATTATTACAGAAATAATTAGTGGTGTCCTTGCTAAGTAATCCAAGAACTCCATTTAGCTCATGTTGACATAAACAGTGCAGTAATGCCCGTTCTTACAGGAGAATGTGCATTAAAGGAATGTATTTTTTAATGTGTGCAACCCAGCAGGTGTTTTAATGCTGCTGAAGTGGTGACACAGTTTGGGGGTTGTGCTGAACAGTCCTTTATGTCAGAGCAGTGTGTAGCTCTGGCTGAATTCATCCTCACTGTTGTTTCTCTCCTGGGTTGTTGGGGCTTTGCTGTTCATCACCTGTGAAATTGATATCAGTTCATTCACTATTCATTCCTGTTCTGCCCTGAAGCTGCTGTTCAGTCCCTGCCTTTGGGTTTGTGCCAGGCAAAGGAACGGGAGTAACTGAAGGTTAGCTGGAGTTCTGCCTTGTTCCTGAGTTTTCTGCTCTTTGGCAGCACCTTTGGAGAGCTGGTGTCACCACAGCTGTTTGTAAAGGACAACTTTCAAGTCCTGACAGGGTCTGTGGTACCCAGCTGTGTGAGAAAAGCTCTGACAGTTAAAGGAAGTGCCCTCCTCAAAGCTCATGGCAAAGGGAAGACAGGCAATGGAACCACTGTACTTGGTTCAGTCCAGCTGCAAAGCTTGGTATGAAGGAGCAGCTCCTGGTGGGTCTGGAGAGCAGTATTTCATCTCTTGTACCCTGTTTCTCTCCTAAAACTTGGGGAAATGCTTGTTTGGAACAGAAATTCCATGGATTACTGGGATATTTTTTTGTGCTCTAGTGGCTCAGCTTCTGTTGTAGATACAGTGTTAAAAGCACAAGTTGTTGCAGAAAAATTCCATCCTAAATTTCCTACAATTGCTAATTTCTCTGGCTCTTCTGCTTTACCTCTAATCTTCCACTGCCCTGCCCTGAGCCACTCTGCTGCTCTTCCCTCTTTCCACTTSCTGGGACAACCTAATTCTGAGCAGAATTCAGAAGAGCTGAAGTTCTGTCTTGTGTAATAAAAATTTACAAAACATTTGACAATGTTTATGGGCCCTGGTATCAAATTTATACTGAAACTCTGATCTAACCGAGGTGTTTCTCTTTCATTTCAGTGCTGTATCGAAAAGGGCCCCCCTTCTACCATGCCAGGTTTGACACTCACGTTTCTGGCTCACTTCTTTGTTTCAAATTAAATTTCAGTCACACCACTTCAGCATTTTCACTGGTTCAGCACATATTCAGCACTCAAAATAYGTTGCCAGCTGTGTTCACACTGGGAATGCTGAAATTCTTTTAGCAGGTTATTGAATGGCACAATTTCTTTGATTTTAAATAAGAGGCATTAAAAATTACAAGTTGCAGTGAGCACATTTAGTTCTCAWATGATGCASTCAGGAAAATAATTGRCTTTAGTAATASTGATTTTAAAAAATAYATGGTTTGGGTAATTTATGTAATTTGGGAGGACTTCTAAGGGATGAGAATTGTCTTTATTTGTTGGCTAGTCAGGTKGAGCTCCTAGATAATAAATTGGTTATAAATGTCACCTTGGCATTAATAAAGAGACGGCTACAAACATCAGAAGGATGGGGAGGGAAGGTGCCATTGAGCATATCCACAAATTCAGTATTGCTCCACTTTTTCTTTTAGAAAGAGACTGAAGTTTTCCATCTTGTCWCCTGCAGGCTGGCATATTGTTTAATGGGAGTTTTAGCCTCTAGTTCTTGAGTTTTCTCCATAAAAAAAGAAATTTCCTTTCTGTGAATTGTCCTGCCTGCTGTGTTTTCCAGTTACTCTGTCATTGCTGAGCTGGTGGATGATAATTTYGAAGGTTCCCTTCGCAGACCACTGAGCTGGATGTCCCTGTCTGGGCTRAACAGAACAACTACAAATGCTTCTAAGGTAAAATGCTGAGGTAAAGACTGCTTTGGAATGATAAATGTGCAGTTTGGCTCCAAAGCGCAGGGACTTGGAGTGAAGCTGGCAAAGGAATCCTCCTGCTGAACAGTATGTTGATTTGCCAGTAGGGAAACAAGTTTCCYTTGTCAATATGCAGGTGAATCCTGGAAGAATTATTATTAAATAATCATTATTAAAGTTCTGTCACCTGTAGAAATGTTCAAAGTTGTGTGAGGAGCAGAAGAAAGTCCCAAGGGATACTTATTCCCTGATGGCCACTTCTGCTTTTAAAGCCCTTTCCTTCTGCCAGGATTTTCTTTTGAGCAGTGAGACTRAAATTTGCCTGAGATTTCCTGTGTRCTAGAGCTCCACAGTGCTTSYATAGTCCATGGGAATTCCTGTGTTTCCTGGCTGCCCACAGGAGCTCATGCTGTGCTATTTGATCAGACCTTCTGACATGACTGCAGAGGAGATGTCAACCCCAGAGTGCATGAAGAGAATCAAGGTGCAGGTGAGTGCTCYCTGCTTTTTTGCAGCTCCTTGGGACAACTGTCCCTTGTTCTTTGGCTTGACTTGGGTTTTACACACATGGCTGCAATAAAATCAAATTCCTKCATGCTTCAAGTCATGAAAAGGGCACTGCAGGCTCTAAAAACTTAAAATCTCCTACTCTGAATTTGAATGTTGCTCATACTGTGCATGTAAGCATTGCATGGGGAAGTAGGGATACCTGTGGAGATGGCAGGGCTAAGATGAGCTCAAAAAAGAAGGGAGAAATGTGTGAGAGTTCAGCTCACTTACGGAACAAACATTCATCTACTAAAATGTCACAAAGGTCACCTAATACACATCGGTTTTACAGACCTAATTCCCATCCCTCACCAATTATTTGTAGCTTTGGGTTTTGGTTTTTTTTCCATAATAATTGCTGGGGTTTATTGCAGGAACTGATCGTGACTCGTTGGGTTTCTTCCCGTGAGCGCAGTGAACAAGATGAATTTTAACTGACTGCACAAGAAAACCTCACTTTTAAAAAACCATTTAAGTTTTTTACCTGATCTCATCAYGAACTGTTGCCTCAGAATAGTTCCTACCAACACACTCACTTGGTGTGTATAAATGCTGTTTAAAATGAGGTGTGCCATGTTTACTGGAGAGAATGTTGTACTGTAAAATGTAACTGAACAGATGAAAGGGAAAAAATGAAAGCTGTGTCCCAATTGAAAATACAAAATAAAAATGTGACATAAAAAGGTGTRTGTTTGAGGGGTGGCTACACTGCAGTCTTTAGGAACAGTATTTCTGGTATTATGGCAGATGGAGGTGCYGAATGGGCACTGCAGAATCCTGAATGTCTGCTATAAAGCCTGAGCAATGAGGGATCAGTTTTCTGGGAATACCTGTTCAGAGCTGGGAATTGTAAGGCTAAGTTTGTTTTGTAGCTCAGCACCAGGTTCTGCATTTTTGCAGACAGTCCTCATTTAATGGCTAAACCAAGCAGTAATGACAGTGAGTCAAATTATCTTTTCAGGTACTTTTTGRGTTCTTCAAGCAAAACCTGACTTCATAATCTTGATGAAGTTGCACAAATTTGGATTTGGGGAGAGGGTTTAGTTGTTTTAGTTGGTTGCCTGGACCCTGGACTTTATTTTCACAATCACAAGCTCAGAATTGAGGAACTCTTCCCARAATGTGTGATGATTTGGATTTATTMTAGGGCCTAATCARGTGTTAGGGACCATTCCYTATCTGGGTGAGACGTCTTTGTTCCCGTGGGATTTGCAGCTTCACATTCAGGCATCTGAATTCCACCTTGGCTTCTTTCCTTTACCATGCAGTTCAGAATGGAAAAAAAAATATGACTGGCAAAGAGGCTGGATTTATTTGTTGTTATATTTATTAGTAAKAAAAGGAAAGGAAAATAACAGTGAATCTACAGTCAGAGATTTGGGATTTCAGMAGCACACAAGAACATGTTCCCTTTTTTTCACTCATCAGTAAACATTGTGACAGGAAAAAAAAACATTTTGGTTTGCTACAGCTGAAGTCACCACAGTTMATTTGTAAAGCCTTTAATTTCACAGCAGCTCTGATTTCTGGTGGGAAGGGTCTTTACGGAACAGAAAAGACAGTGAATGTTAAATCACAAAACATTTTTCCAAAGGAATAGTTCCYATGGAAATTCTCTGTAGTGTCTATGTTTTATGTGTGTTACTCACTCAAATGCTSAAGCTCAGTATCCTGACCCTTCCCTGAGGTAAGGGGGAAGTTAATGATGTTTTTAACTACATTCAACCTTAAACCCTGACATGCGGAGCCTTAACTTTTCCTTTTCCCACTGCTGCTGTTTTAATCCAGCAAGTTGTYGTTTCCAGCCCCACTGTCCTGCTCTTGCTCAGGCAGGGGCACGATGTAGAAGTCCTTGTGTGCCAGCTCCTGGTGCAGGGTGAGGTACCTGGAGGCTTCCCTGGTGTGTGGGATCAGGAAGCTCTCGGTGAACTGGGCTTTGCTCAGGGGTTCCCGGCCCCGGCCCTGCCGGATGCGGTTGATGAAGGTCAGGGCGAAGGTGTAGCAGTTGTGCTGCTGCTCCTCATACCTGGGGAAACACCTCCTCAGCAAGGGCACTCCCCAGTCATTGCCATTCATCTGGGGATGCTTCCTCAAGTAAAGCTCTCCAAGAACTTCCCCTTGATCCCAGTGTTTACATATTTTCAATTCATCACAAGTGGCACTTCACAGCCAGGGCTACCAGGAACTCAGAGCACAAAAATGAGAGGGCTGCAAAACTTGGCAAAATCGAGTTCTTAGTTTTTTTATACCTATTTGGCTTTTACCTTGTTAACCTTTGCTCTTCACCTRTTGGTACCACCTCCTTCCTGCAGCCCCCAAGTTCATTGTGTGCCACCACGGCTGTGTGGTTGCTCATTTAAAATCCAGCCCCTTGTCTCAGTGATGTCCTGGTACAGTTCTCTTACATTTTGCCAGTCAAACCCCACTGGCAAGGGCTGGTGCCCATTGTGCAAGGGCAGAAATGTGGCTGGAACAGGAGGCACAACCACTTCAATGTCCTTGSCTTTCTTTGCCCAGCTCCCCTGCCCCAGGAGCACACAGCCCTCACCTGTTCCCTCATTTCTCACATTCCCCCAACTGTCTCATGCTGGTCACTGATTTATTCCATTCCCCACCACACTGCTGCATTGKCCCCTGGCCCTGTGCAGCTGCATTTTCTCCAGCCCTGCTCAGACTCTGCCATCTGCCTCATCCTCAGGCTGCTCCCACAGCTGCCTCTCCCTGTGTCCTCTGTCCCTTGTTGTCCCCAGCCCTGTGGCCCATCCTTTGCCATGTGCTCTCAGTGGCTCCATGGTCTGTGCTGCCACAGGGAGGTTTTCCTGCCAGCCCTGGGGATTTACAGGAGCTTTCTGCAAGGGGTGTGGGTATGAAAAGTGACCCTGAGCTCAGCTCAGCAGGGCTCACTTCCCTTCAAAACTCTCCTGGTTTATTAAGGATGTTYCTTACTCYTGTTTGGGAGTCAAGCTGARCTTCTCCTCTTTGGGAAGTGTGTCKTTGTGTCCTSACAAGCAAAACCAGCCCRTCAGTAATTTTAGATACTGTTGGTCCTGGCTGTAGCTACTGTTCTCTACAATCCTTCAGTAAATGAAAAGCYACCAAGAAAACCAGAATTAGGCTTGGCCTGAACCCAAAGGAGTTACAGGATTAGCTCAGTGCAGTTCCAGTCTATTGAAAAAATAAGCAGAGGATTCAATTAACAGAGGTCAGTTTTCAGGTCAGTGGTCAGTGGTCACTGGTCTGGTTGTGGGAAAARTAGGTCAGTGTGTCAGGAGGTGGCAGATGGAAACCAGAGGAAAGCTTTGGGATGCACACATCTACCCACCCTCTGCCAGTGAGCTTTTGATGTCAAGTCAATTTTAATATTACTGGGAACTGTAAAAGTAACACAGATCCTGTTGGCTTTACAAGCTCTGYAAACATCTAAGCATTCTTTTCTAAATTAAATTCTTCCATCTCCTTYAGGGAGGTAATGTATGATCCCTGAAATTTTATAATCAGCTCATATAGAATTGCTAAAAAATGCTTTTGATTTGATGGTTTTTCYTTTATATGATGGTTACATTCATTCAGTGAAACCCAGGCAGGCTCTGTGTCACAGCTGCTGTTACTGAGGGACAATCCCAGGACTGGTGTTTTCCTGGAAAGCTGCTCTGTCACCAGAAGAGCTGGAAATCAGACTGGTTTCCCATTTCTCACCACTGACAACAAAAGCATCATCTGGATGTCAGACCTAGGCAAGAATCCCATCACTGTGCTCAGCCTTTCAATGAAAATACACCTCARTGTTGCTGAAACCTAGAAAAACAATTATGGAACTGTGCCTGGACTTTTCTRCTTAGCAGCAGGTAATGTTTCATTCAATTGGGGCTTTAATGCAAAATTCTCTAGAGCCACCTTTTGTTTTAGAGCTTTTATGTTCCAGCAGAGGAGTTTGTCACTTAAAATWCAGAATATTCTGACCAGCCAGGGCAGGATGAAGGTGATCCAGGCTGGGCTGTCAGGAATGTGTATCCTGAATGATCCACAAACCTTTTGGTGTCCACGGGGGATCAGCCCAGCTACTCATCCAAACACACCCCAACCTCTCACCCCAGCTGTTAAATACACACCTGTGAGGGAGCCAGGTCTCTTCCAAGGAGAATTCCTCCAGGAGGCTGTCCCACTGCTGCAGGAGCTCTGCCATGTCCGGCTGCACCAGGGGGATGCTGATGCACTGCTCCCAGCCCCTGTCAGCCCTGTGCACACCCTCCTGGTCRTAGTTGTACACCACACCTGGGGACACAGAAACACGGTCTCAGGGCACTGGGGAACACACACAGAGCCCCTTCTGGGGTTTTCTTGTGACTCAGCTTCCCATCAGCCAAGTAGGAAATGCAGTTCTGGCTTCCAGCAAAAACCCGGTCTCATTTTCACAGCATGGTTTAAAAAAAAATTTGCTCTTTTGATAATCAGAGCAACTTAGGGACACTCAGGCTTCCTTTTTAACCCCAAAGCCAGTCTGTCTTTGTATTAAATGTACATCTTAAATGATGTTTTGCAGTGTGGGCCTACTGCAGGGAGAACCCAAGAGGACTTTTAATGTGGCTTTTGAAAATGTGTTTTAATTAGGGGTGTYATTAGAATTAGCAAAACCCATGTTTAGCTCAAAATTTCCTGTAATTCCTTTAAAGCAGGCCTAGCCTTTCTTTCCAGAGGTAGAAGGTGCCTGTTTATTCAGGTGAATGGAATTGCTCAGCAGCTCTGCCACAAAGTGAGATAACTCCTCAATGACCCAGCCCTGGAATATTCCGAGCTGGAATTCCCATGGCAGCCCATGTGGCAGCTGGGGAGGCTCGAGGGGACACAGGGCTGAGCTGGTTCATCCCGGGAGCAGGAGGGACCCGCAGGGTGCTCGTTACCCTTGGAATTGGTGATCCCGACATGCAGGTCMGAGTGGCCGTCGTAGCCCCTGCAAGAGGAGCAGAGGGGCAGGTGAGGAATGCAGGAATGGCCCTGCACAGCCTGGCTGGGACAGGCAGCACCTCCCGTGTGCTGGGGCCTGGCATGAGCGTCAGGAAACTCCACTGAGCACCGGGAAATGGCGACTCCATTTCCAGAACGGGTGTGATCCCTGTCCCTGCTCCGGCCTCTATCCCATTCCTTCTTCCATCCTTCCCCCTTCCCAGCCCTTCTCTTCCCCTTGTCTTCTCATTTCATTTGCTTTACTTTTTCTCTTCCATTTTCTCCTTCTCTTTTCCTTTCCCCTGCCTTTCCCTTTCCATTGTCTTCCATTCTCTTTCCTTCCTCCTTCTCTTTCCCTTCCTTTTCCCCTCTCCTTTCCCTCTTCTTGCTCTTTCCCTTGCTCTTTCCCCTGCCCTTTTCCTTCCCCCTTCCTCTTTCCCCATTCCTTCCCCGTCCCATTCCCCTGCCCTTTTCCCTTCCCTGTCCCATTCCCCTCCTTTCCCCATCCCATTCCTTTTTTCCCTCCCCATTCCCTCCCAGTGCCCTCCCTTTCCCCCTCCCATTCCCCCCTTCTTTCCTTTCTCCATTCCCTCCTTCCCCGTCCAGTTCCTCTCCCCTTTCCCCATCCCATTCCATTTTTTCCCTCCCTATTCCCGTCCCACTTCCCACTCATTCCCCTCCCTTTTCCCCTCCCCATCCCCTCCCATTCCCCATCTTATTCCCCTCCCTTTTCCCCTCTCCCTTCCCTGTCCCATTCCCCTCCCTTTTCCCTTCTCATTCCCCTCTTCATTCCCTCCCATTTCCCTCCCATTCCCCACCCATTCCCGTCCCATTCCCCTCCCATTCCCCTCCCTTTCCCCTCCCCATTCCCCTTTTTCCCCTCCCTGTTCCTCCCATTCCCCACCCATTCCCGTCCCATTCCCCTCCCATTCCCCTCCCTTTCCCCTCCCCATTCCCCTTTTTCCCCTCCCTGTTCCCCTCATTCCCCACCCATTCCCTCGTTCCCCTCATCTCCTCCCGTTTCCCCGTTCCCGCCCTTTCCCCTCAGCCCCGCCCCCCAGCGCCCCCTGGCGGTTACTGCAGGAAGGTGCCCCGGCTGGGCCTGATGAGGAAGGCGCGGGGCTGCCCGTGGCCGTGCCGGAAGGGGCAGGGCAGGCGGACAGGCGCGGCGGACAGCCCGGCGGAGCGCAGGTCCCCGCCGCACGCGGGGCAGCGCGGCGGCGCGCGCCGGCAGTACAGGAGCGCGCGGCAGTGGCGCACGCGCAGCACCGCCATGGCCCGGCGCGGCGGCGGAAAGCGTCCGGCCGGGAACAGAGGCGCGGGACTCGGGGCGGGGCCACGGCCACGCCCCCCGTAACGCGGAACCTCCGTGCGCGGCGGGAGGAGCCGCCCGGGCCCCACAGTGCGGCGGCACGATGAACACGAAGCAGGTGACGTGCAGGTGAGCGCGGCCCGCGCGGGCCCGGACCCCCACAGCCCTCACAGCTCCCCCATATCCCGCTCACAACCTCCCTCACAGCTCCTCATATCCCGCTCACAACCTCCCTCACACCCCTCACATCTCCCTCACAGCTCCTTCACATCCCGCTCACAACCTCCCTCACAGCTCCCTCACATCCCGCTCACATCTCCCCCACAGCCCTCACAGCTCCTCATATCCCGCTCACAACCTCCCTCACAGCCCTCACAGCTCCCTCACATCCCGCTCACATCTCCCCCACAGCCCTCACAGCTCCCTCATATCCCGCTCACAACCTCCCTCACACCCGTCCTTCAAACCTTCCTCACACCGCCCCTTCACCATCCTGCCCCGCATTTCCCCCCTCACAATCCCTTCCTGCCCCCCTCACACACATCCCACGCACTTCCCTCACTCCCCGCACCTCACATCCCCTCACTCCCCAAAAAACCCGCTCCACCCCTCCCTCACACACCCCCTTCACCCCTTGCCGGACGCCCTCACAGTCTCCTCACGCCCCTCACACACCCCAYACTCTCCCCGGAGCAGTCCGGGCCGGCCCGTGCCGAGCTGGAGGYGGCGGATGCGGTCGGGATCACCCCCGTTCCCCGGGCCGGGCAGCGCCATCGCTCCCGGAGCCTGCCCAGGGTCCCGGCCCCGCGGCGTGCCGGGGAAACAATCGTGGGCCGGCATGGAAACTGCACGGAAGGGTTTCTCAGTCCCCTCGGGAAAGTTTTGTTCGCTGAAAGGGTGATCAGACAGTGGAAAAGGCTGTGGAGGTTTGGAGTTCCCATTCCTGGAGCGCTCTGGGTTGAGGGACAGGGTGAGGATTGGTCACAGTTTGGACTCCATGGTCTGASAGGGCTTTTCCAWCTTGAGTTATTCTGGGAAAAAAAAACCCAAACGGAGTCCTTCCTSCTGCCAGCAGTGCCTGCTGTGACCAGCGCGTCTCTCCACAGGTATTACTTGCAGGGCGTGTGTCGGGAGGGAAGCAAATGCATGTTCTCCCATGATTTGTCTACCAGCAAATCCTCCACCATCTGCAAGTACTACCAGAAGGGGCAGTGYGCCTACGGCTCCCGCTGCAGGTAAACCCCGCTCTGTGGGCTCYGGGAGGGCAGGAGGGCTCATGTCCCATCAGCTTTACACTCAGGGCAGGCAAGGAGCAGGGAAAGAGAACAAAGGGAATTTTTAATTTATTGAATACGACTCTTGTCAGAGCCAGAAGTGAAGTTTTGCTCTGTAGAAATCAAACTTTGGGTTTCATGTGTGTTTCCCATCTTGCAGTCAGAGATGCGGGTGCAGTTGGAATGGCCATGGTGAGGCTGGAAGCTCCCAGTGCAGCTCCAAGCCACCCTCCTGCATGTCCCAGTGCACTCTTTTGGGCACTTGAAGTTCTGCCTCAGATCAAAATTCTCTCCTCCTGCACTCCTGGGTTGGTGGGACGGCTGAGCAGTTCCACAGCTTTCTCTGGGGTCTCCAGGTTCAAACTCCCTGAGGAATGCTCTAGGGAACACAGTGCATTGGTTGATGTTGATGCATTGGTCCATCAGGGGTGTGCCACAGGGCAGCCCGGGCTCCCTCCTGGAGGAATTTCCTGGTGGGTGGGCGAGGAGCCTGTATCACCTCAGAGCTCCCTGCCTTGCCTGATCCACGTGCCAGACTGGGATCAGGGCTTGGACATCCATGACTCCTGCAGCTCCCATCACCTGGAATGAGCAGTGTGGAGTGAGAGCTGCAGGCTCGGTGCTTTTCCTCCTGCTGTTCTGCTGGAATTCCAGTGCTTGGTGCACATGTCTGTGGGCATGTACAGGTCCAAAAACAGAATGGGGAATATTCTGTTCCCATCAAAAATATTGTAACGTTTGGATATGTCCATGGCTTCACTGGAGCAGCTCCTTTACGGTCTGGTTGTTCCTGCTCTGCTGCTGGAATTTGTTTCCATAGTTTTGTGGGAGGTTTCCACAGTTCTGCGGGGTGTTTGGGGTCCTTTCCCGAAGGGGTTTGGGTTTGTTGGGGTTGGTTTGTGTCGGTGCCGGGCAGGTCCCGCCCCGTTCCCAGCGGCCATCCCGGTGTTCCTGCCGCAGGTATGACCACGTGAGGCTCCCGGCGCCGGCCGGAGCTGCGGCCCCTCCGCCCCCCGCGGCCCCCGCCAGCCCCCGGCAGCCCCCCGAGCACGGCCCCGGCGCCACGCGCAGCAAGAGGGAGAAGAGGACGCTGGTGCTCAGGGACAGAAGTGAGTGGGAGGCTGCTCTGCTGTCCTTGGGCCTGCGGGGAGGGAGGGAGGGAGGGAGGGAGGGAGGTGGTGTCTGCTGTGATTATCTGACTTTCATGGCCAACTGGAGAGCTGCAGCCACTGCTCCCACCCCACAGAGCCTCCTCCCTGGAGACACCCTGTTTGTCAGTCCCTTTCCATAGCTGTGGGTAGTGTCTGGCTCCCTTTCTGCCCCCTGAGGCATGGGGAGTGTTCTGTCCACCCTCACAGGCAGATGGAGTGGGGGGCATGTCCGGTTCTGCTCCCAGACAATCAGTAACAGGACGAGAGGAGATGGTCTTGAGCCAGGGGAGGTTCAGGTTGGACAGCAGGAGGAATTCCTTCATGGAAGGGGTGGTCAGGCTCTGGAAGGGAGTCCCCATGCCTGGAGGTGTCTAAGGAACCCCTGGATGTGGCACTCAGTGCTCTGGGCTGGGTGACAAGGTGGGGATTGGTCACAGGTTGGACTTACAGATCTTGGAGGTCTTCTCCAGCCTTAATGATTCTGTGAATTTTTAGTGTATTTGTATGGAGAAAACACCTTTGTTGTTGTGATTGACCTTTTCTGTCAGTAATTTGGGATAATTCCTGTGATTTGTGAGCAGAAAAGGCATAAAGATGAGATTCCATTGGGAAGAAAWCTTTAAATGAGGAGAGAGAGGAGCTGGAGCTGCTGGTGTTGAGTGCAGTGCCCTGTGCTTGTCCCTGCCCAGATCTGTGCGGCGCGAGCGAAGAGAAGGCACGGCCCGGTGCCCTCAGTGCCCCCGGCGGCCCCGGAGCCGTGCTGTGCTGCAGTGAGCCGGCTGACAGCGCCGAGGGGAAGCCCCATTCCTACCTGGAGGCCATCTGCAGCGGCCTGGAGGAGCCCGGGGCCGGGGGCTGCCCCGGGGATGGGGAGCAGCTGTGTCCCTACGCTGCTGCTGGCACCTGTCACTTCGGGGAGCGCTGCCTCTACCTGCACGGGGAGCTGTGCGAGATCTGCGGCCTCCGGGTGCTGCACCCCTTCGACCAGGAGCAGAGGAAGGCCCACGAGATGGTAAAGGGGGAGTGGGATATCTGCTGTGTGCAGGGTGGGCTTGGGGCTGTCTGCTCTCAAGTGTAGAAGAGCCTGTTCCAAAGAGCTCTTGGTTTACTGCTTATCCAGMCAGAAAATTATTCTAAGAGTGGTCTGCTCAAGCAACTGGGGCTGAATTGGCAATGATACTGGATGGAGAAACTTGTTCACCCCCGTTTCATCCTCACCAGAGCCCGGCCTGCAGCCTTCTCCCACAGCACCCTGAAAGTCTCCCAGGAGAATTTCTTTTGGAAGTCTTGGAGTGAGTCACCAGCTCACCTTGTAGTGCTGTGGGAGTGTGCATGGGTTGTGGATTGTCACTGCTGGGATGAGAAGTGCTGGAGGAAAGCCTGAAATAAGAAACTTAATTCCTTAACTGGGTAAAAACCAGGCTCTGGTGAATGAATGTGGCCTCAATGATAATCAGAGAACACCGTGCGTGTGGCACCTGTTCAGTGAGATGTTTTTTGGAGATGTTTGAAGTATCAAATAGTTCAATACCTGTTWTGTGACAGAGATGCAGAAGGGGGTTGAATGAAGTACCCTGGTACCCTGATTTCTAGCAGCTGACAGAACGTGAAAGGCTGAAATATTTAAATTGAATTAATTGAATTTAATGTTCTTTACATTAAACTCTTGACAGTGCCAGGTAGGAATGATGCCCTCAATGAGTGTTTGGTGTTTTCCCTGCAGCAGATCCTTTGCACAGGGCCTTAGTTTGCCAGGCTGGCACTGGGCTGCACTCACCGTGCCTTCTCTCCCTCTCGTGACAGATGTGCATGGCAACGTTTGAGCACGACATGGAGAGGGCCTTTGCCTTCCAGGCCAGYCAGGACAAGGTGTGCAGCATCTGCATGGAGGTGGTGTACGAGAAACCCTCGGCCTCCGAGAGGAGGTTTGGGATCCTCTCCAACTGCAACCACACGTACTGCCTGTCCTGCATCCGGCAGTGGAGATGTGCCAAGCAGTTYGAGAACCCCATCATCAAGTGAGTGCTGTGAGGGGGCACTGAACCTGCTCACAAGGGAGGCTGGMGCTGCAGGTATTGACAGGGATCCTGCTCCAGCTGCTGCCCCAAGACTTGGCTGGGAGAGCTGCCTCATGAGCAGCTGGATGCTCTGGGGGTCCTTTGGTAATAGTTCCTGTGTGGGGAGTATGGCCTGTGGCAGCTCAGCCCTCTCTGATTGTGGTGTCAGTGGGCAGCGTGGACTCTGGAACAGCTGGGACCTTGTAAAACCCTGCCCCTTGCACTGACCTGTGTGCAAAACTAAGAACTCCTTTTTTCCCCATGTATGTGCTTAATTATGGGATTTTCTCCTAAATTACAGCTTACTACAGGTAAATGTCCCACTAATCACACATTTATCTATGTCTGAGTGAATGCTTTTGTTTTCTAGCTCAATAAAAAATGTATTCCAAACATGTTCTTCCTCAGATGGGAGAATTTAAAACATTCAGTTGGGGAAGTTTGTTTTTTTGAACATCTCTCAAGTTACAAACACAGTAAAGAAAAGGTGGGAAATATTTTTAGTCTTCTGCCAAAACAGACTTTTCTGCACAACTTTTACTCCAAAGTTCATTGAAGTGAACACATTTCATGCATTTCAAAGGCTGACGCACCTAAATTGTGTGTTTGCACTGTTTTGACTCCCTGCTGCAGAGCTYAGCACTCACAGAACAGTTTGTTTCTGCAGATTGAGGAAATGCCTGTTGCTTTTGCTCAAGTCCACAAACAAACACAAGCCCTGGGTGCCCTGAATGGGGTCATTCCAACTGCAACTCCCCACAAATGCACACCAAAGTGCTGAGCTAACRTGGGAGGTGTCTGCTGCCTGAGGTGACAAACATCCCCTTTCCCTCGGGAGGATTCCCACTGCTTGTGGAGCGTTTCAGTCTCTGGAGGTAACAGCATCTCTGTTTTGTCCTGTTCCTCAAGGTCCTGCCCCGAGTGCCGGGTCATCTCCGAGTTTGTCATCCCCAGTGTGTACTGGGTGGAAGACCAGGAGAAGAAAAATGAGCTGATTGAAGCATTTAAGCAGGGAATGGGGTAAGTTCAGGAACCACCCACACTGCTCACGTTGTTCTTTAGCTGCTCTAAGACTCAGGCAATTGCTGAGCCTTTATTTTTAAGCTTAATGTAATTACAGACCRTTCCTCCGAAAACTCATCTCTGTTCACACTTCTGCTTAACTTTGGGGCTGTGTAATTGTAGTTCAGAAATTGAGCCTCACTGTGCTCAGAAATGGTGAAGCTATTTCAGCTCACTTGCTAAAATTGGCTTCATGTGGCTTTTGTGGATGCCTCAGCCATGATTGCCTGGAACGTTGTTGGTGACTGAGGAGAGCAAACAGGGAAGGAAAACGTAACAGTGGGATAAAAATTCACAGGGCCTTTGTAATGTCTGCTGGGGATGGCAGATCCTCCAGGAGTGCATTCCTCGTGCTGTCCAACAGCAGTCTGGCTGGAATGGGGTGGCCTGGGCTTCCCAGAGCAGTGAGAAGCTGCCCCGTTCCTCCTGCTCCCTCTGCCAGRTGAGGCAGAGCTGGGCTGGCAGTTTCCTCTCCTGCTGGTTTTGGTGTAGAACCATCCAGTCCAGATCCTGTGTGAGGATCCACCCTGTAACAAATGGCTGTGCAAGGACAGCTTGGGTGACCACAGAGCTGAGGGAAACCTAAATTAACAAACTGTTGGCACAGGCCCTTAAAAGGAGGTGAGGAGAGGAATTGGGTCATGAAAATGGACTGGGAAGAAAAAACAGGCATGAAAAATAATTGCTTGGCTCATGGTGATGTTCTTTGAACATCCTTCACTTTCCACATCTTAAGGCATTTCCTTTTTATTTGATTCATGATGCTGTTCTTTTTTATGTGTTTTTGTTCACTTTTAATGACCTTTGCCCTCTGTTTGGCTGCTCTAAGCTGGGGTGTGGGAGGCCAAAGCTCTGGCTGTGTTACCAGAGCATCACTGAGGCTGTGGTAACTGAAATGCATCTCCTTCCCTTCCAGCTGAAGGCAATAACCCTCTTTCTTCTCATTAACCCAGGAAAAAGCCCTGCAAGTACTTTGATCAAGGGAAGGGAACGTGTCCCTTTGGAGGGAAGTGTCTTTACCTCCACGCTTACCCCGACGGGACCCGAGCTGAGCCTGAGAAACCCAGGAAACAGCTCAGCTCCGAGGGCACCGTGCGGGTAAGGAGTGCCCTGGTGTCCCACAAACCTCATCTCAGGGTCACCTGTGCCACTGGGGAGTGGCTCCTGCCCTGCAGGATGAGGGAAGAAAGTCCCTCTCAGTGTTCCTCAGGCAAGGGTTTGTCCTTGGGGATGGGAGCATGGCCTCGTTTAACTGCACAATATCGTCACTTTGGTTTTTCAGCCTCCCATGGCAAACCTTTCCTCACAGGGATCCTGCCTTCAAAGCTTTCACCCCCAGTGCTGAAGGCTCCTCTCCYGTGCTGGCACCAAGGGCAGCTGAAAAGGGCAGCTGGTGGTGGCTGTGCCCCAAGCCTGCCCTCAGCTGTGTTCCCTGCCTGTCCTGGGACACGTGAGCCTGGCTGTGCCCTCAATTCAGCAGCACAAACCCAGCACTGAGATCTCAACTTGTGGCAGGTTTTAATGAGGAAACAACTGCCAAGGCAGGACCGTTCTGGGGCTGGGGATGCTCAGGCAGCCTTTTCTCTGTTGCAGTTCTTCAACTCGGTGCGCCTGTGGGATTTTATCGAGGACAGGGAGAGCAGGAGCGTGCCCAGCACRGACGACGACGTCACGGAACTGGGGGAACTGTTCATGCACCTCTCTGGGGCTGAGGAGGATCCCCCTGCTGCCCCCTGAGGACACCACAGCCCCTCGGAGCCCAGCAATGCAGCTATTTATTAGCCATGCTTTTACTCTATCCAGCACAGGTAGAACAAATGTGCCCTGGTGGTTACTTGTGCAGTCCTGGTAAAGTTTTCAGATAGTTTTTATATGGCAACAAAAAAAAAAAAAGACTAAAATATATTTTAAAAAAAATTTGGCTGCATGGAAAAAAAAATCCCTTAATCCAGGAGGGCTTTCTCCCTCTCTGGCCTAACATACTGTCTTGTGAGCGGAGTGGTAGTGTAAATACAGATCCAGGGAAAGCTTAAGCTGGTAAAAACTGTTGCTAAATAGAATTTGGGTGCTTTTGGGTTTTTTGTCTCCACTAAATAYGCTAAATGTGTGACTAGAAAACCCACTGGGAATAATGGTCAGTGTAGGGTTTTCTCCTTAAACAGGAGCTGGTACATTATACCTCAGATTGTTCCTAGAGTTCAGAGCAGAGCTTACTGCACTCTCAGGGGCAGTGTTGGGGCAGGGCTGGCTAGGCCTGGCTCTCCAGGTGCTGCCGGTCCAGTCCCCACCCGTTTGACACTAATTGAAGTGTAAAGAGGCAGGAGTGGCTCCTGGAGCACCTGCTGTACAGCAAATACAGCTGCATTGAGTCCTAAACTCAGGCAGAGAACCATGGTGGCACAGGGCAGAGCTGAACTGAATCCACTGCACAGACTGGAAACTGCAGCATGAGTGAGGTGTCCTCACTAATCCTGCCAGAGTCCTGCCCAGAACCAGGAGTGGCTCTGCAGCAGCTCAGTGCCTCCAGTGCAATGGGCCGGGCCCAGGAGGGCTGAGAGATTAATGGCCATCTCTGCTGAGTTAACAGAATTGTTACTGAATTCTGCTTGGGTAAAAAGGTGACTCCTGTTGGTGTGGCAGAAGCAGTTTGGTTGTGACATTGGACAGCAGATGTTAATTCTGCTGAGTCATTTGTACAACTCTGCAGTTAAACCAGGATTTCAGGGTGCACACAAGCAAAGTGATGCTGAGTAACAGCACGGACACACCTGAGGCTGAGCTGCCAGRCTGACTCATGGCCTTGTCACTCACTGGGGGCTGGACTGAGATGCTGCCTGAGCAGTGTTTGTAACCATAAAKAGATGGGGGTTATTTTAGAACAGCTGGGTTGCAAAGAAAGGCAGGTGTGCATTATTATCTGTAGGAACAGCATTATAAAAGCATAAAAATAACACTTAAAATGTGTAAAAAGGAAAGAAAGGCTCAGAGCAGAAAGTCTGTAACGGGCAGCCCTGATCAGTGACAGGACTGTGTGATGGTCACAGTCTCRATCCAGCAGGGGTGGCACACACAGGTACCTCCCCTGGGTGGTGTTTTACACTCTGTTCCAACAGTGGAGCCCGGGCAGGCCTCTGGGTACACCCCAGAAGTGAGGCTGGAGCACCTCAGGGCTCTCTGGTGATTTCTGACCCTTCCAAGACCTGACACTGCCTCTCTGTGAGYCCAGGAGGGATGRAAAMCCTCAGCCCTGTGACTTTCTTTGGGCTGGGGCGAGTGTGACACCTGAACCTTCTCCTTTACCTGGCACCCAAGCAGAGCTGTAGGTGGAGGGTGCTCACCCCCTTTCTCCACCCCACACCCCAAAACTCCTTCTCMCCTGGGTCAGGCAGGGGCTGCACACCCAGCTCCAGCAAAGCACCCCCTTGGTCTGGGTCACTAACCAGGAATGTGCCAGTCTCACCCAAGGATCAGACCTCAACCCAGCCAGGGTCAGACCTCAACCCCCTGGGACGTTTTTGTGCCCAAAGCCCTGAGTGTGTCAAAGCTGGAGAGTGGTGAGGGCACAGAAATCACTCGGACAGTGAAGGAAAATGGATACAGAGACTGGGGCAGGAAGCTGCTGGGACACCAGGGCCAGCCCTGCTGGGGTGGTGACACAGGGAGGGAACAGCAGGAACCTTCATCTGGGATTCCAACACSTTTAACTGGAACCAAAGCAGCCCCTCCAGGACGATCCACTGAGCTGCTGCTGCCATTTCTCGGTCAGGATGGCATTTCTCAGTCAGGATGGTGGCTCTGTGTCACTGGGAAAGGGAGAGCTCCTCCTCCCCTGGGTACTGCCCAGCCCTTCCCCCACACTGACCAGGCCACTCTTCTGACCTGGGAAATGAAACTTTTCCATAACGATTTCCCCACTAAGGTTAATTTTTAGCAGTGCTCACTGCAGTCAGGCATGGCCTTGGCMGTGTCTGTAACAGCCATCAATTCCCCTTCTTGCTAAAACTGACCCATGAAGGCACCTGTGAAGCTCTTCAGTCCCATCAGTGCAATTAGCACTAATTACAAAAGTGAAGGCAAATCACCCCTAAGAGAGAYGTCAAACACTGAGATGAATGTTTGAGGGGTACCCAAGCACCCTTTCTACCCCAAAATACTGCCACAGCCCTCACCCTCCCACTGCAGCTCATTTCCATCTGCTCCTGCTCATACTTTTTTTTTCCCCAGAAATATTGTCAGTAATACATCAACCAAATCAGTGGAGAGGATGTTCTGTACCTTAAACAAGACATTCCTGATTTACTTTGCCCCAAGAAGCCAGGAAGAACAGTCTGAAACTAAAAAGGTAACTCATTTTTAAAGCTGCCTAGAGATTTAAAAACTCAGACCTTTTAAGTTCTTCACTCAGCACTTTTTATTTAACTGGACATGAAGTGCTGGTTAAAATAAACCTATTTATCAAAAACATTTTAGTTTTTTAAGAGACACAGTCTGGTTTAAAAATCGTAAGTTAATGAGTTTTTGGGAAATCACACTTAAGGTAAAAGCAGCTCAGTTCTGTTTTTTTTTGTCTTCCCCCTTTTTAAGCTTATCATAAGTAAGTTAAAATTAGAGATAAATAATGTTTAGAGAGTTGCAGTCACAATATCAAAAATATTATTAAAAACCATGCAGAACTATATGGAACAGTCTCCTTCAAGTCTCAATATACTATTTAGGAAGCAAATAAGGTCATTGTCAATTATCACCTAAGGGTTAATATCCCACCTTACTTGTTCTGTTCTGGAATACCCTGAGGACAAACTGGAGATGATTTCTGTGTCTGGCTCTCTTCCCTTTCACAAGAGCCTTGTGGGGTTTCGTTGCTGCAAAGCAGAAGCTGCAGTGGCTGTTGGGGCATTACAGGGAGAGCTGGACACAGGAACTGTCCCAAGGCACAGCAGAGGCATTGGCAGCAGCTTTGGGGTGGAGGTGACAGAGGKCACAGCCAGCCCCTGTCACCACTCCCTGCTGTGCACTCACARCATCCCAAACTGGGCTTCCATTCTTGCCCTAATAACCACATTTCACCGGACTGCTGTTTAAAAAATCAWTTTTTAGATTCAGCCACCTATTTCTGGCATCCACAGAGTTCAGCCAAAACAAAATATTCACTTTACTCTAATAAACAAGAGCAAACAGAGCAAAAGTGGTGCAGGGAAACAGCTGAGAGCACATCAGAGGGGGTGTCCAAAGCAGCTGCTACTGAAAGATCACTGCAGTAGGAGAAAAACTGTCTTGTATGTGACTGGAAACGTAGAAGTTGTTTTATCAAGTGTGTTGTTACTTGCACTGCTGTTAATTATCAGTTATTTTTAAAAATTATTCAGAATGTCATTTCCTGAGTTTTCCAAATGCAGATGTCCCACTCAGAACTGTGGATGACTACATTAAAATGATGACATTGAATCTTAAACCTAAAATTTAATTTATTTTATTAAAATAAGATAATCAGAGGAACCTTGGCTTACAATAAATGCATTTTCTCAGGAGCAATAAAAACAAAATTAAAACCCAAATCAACAAGAAAAACTGTATATGCTCAGTTTCCTCTTGCTAGTGCATCTCTTGGACGACAGCTTCCGATGGGATGCAGCCTCTGCCGGAGATGGGAACATCCCTCAGCCTTTTCCAGCCCAGCATTCCTCACTCCCCCCAGGCTGGGCTGCAGGAACASGTCCATAGTACCAAAGGCAGCTGGGAGGCTTCTCAAGATGACCAAAGCAGGACTGGCTCACTTCCTTCTCTGAGCAGGACAWTTCACAACAGATTCCATCCTTTTGCAAGAGTTTTTCTTCTATGTGCAAAACTATTGCAAAACTATTTTGTGTTGAATTAGCATTTGAACTTATTTCATTGGCTTGGTGAAGCTCTTAGGCAGGAGCTGATTTCCAGAGTTATTTCCTCTTCCCACTCCAGGCACAACTCCCCACGGTGAGGTGGCACTTGGCATGGGGCAGTCAGAGCACCAGAACATCCATCAGAGCCACCCTGGCTGTGGAAAAGCCCCGCTGAGCACAGATCAAACCCAGCCAGAACCACTGCCAGAGAAACAGCCATCGCTTCTGGGAAGGGGAAAATAAGGCTCAAGTGCATCTATTAAAAAAATAGTAATAGATCTCTTGATTTGTAGTCTGTTACCTCTCCCAGAACAAGAGATGGTAGCAAAGGCAATGAGGAGCTGTGTCCCTGCAGGCTGACAACTGCACAAATCCGTAGCAGCTTCTTTGTAGGCGTGGGACGCAGAGGATCCTGCTGGCACGGAGCCTGCACACCGAGGCATGGGAAGCACGAGTGCTGTTCCTCCTGCTGCTCCCCGTGCATCCCTGGGGAGCTGGAGGGCAGGGGCAGCTCTAGAACACGGGCAGCCTGGTGGAGGTCAGCGTGCACGAGTTGATGTCCTCGGTGTGGGCGGCGCGGTGCAGGGACGGCTCCGAGGCGCTCCGGTTGATTTTGGGGAGAGAGTGCTGCAACAGCTCGATGGACGACAGGATCTGAGGGAAACAGCAGCTTAGGGATGAGCAGCTCCCTCTATTTCCATCTCAAACACTCATTCATTCCTTTATTCATTCATTCAATTCAGTCACGGCTCTAAGGGTCTCTTTAATGCTCCACAGGGCACTGAAAACACCACTGTGATTAGAGGGACAACTCTGCCACCCCATGTCAGTGCTGGAGGAGCCTCAGGAGTCCCAGAGGGTGGGAGGGTGTTTCTCATCAGTTCACAGACATTCAGATCAATTCACAAACATCTAAACAATCCTCCAGTAGAGTAACAGGGAAGCACCTTCTGCCTAACGTTTAGAAGGACCTTTTTAAACAATACTTGATTGCAACAGCAAGAAGTTGTTTTTCTAAAATCYGATTATATTTAATTCCAGCAATTTACTGAGTATAAAAACGTACCTTCATCATCCTGACAGTGGCAGGAAAAAGTGAAAGTATCCCTTGTAAAAATATCAAAAACTGCTCCATGACTTCAACATCACTGAGTGGGTTTTGTTTGCTTGCTCACAGTTGTGGGTAAAGGAGTKACCTCTCCTCTCCCTAAAATAAAATGTCTGCACAGAGGYAGATTTCATTTTTATCGTGTCAGGGGGGTTTGGCTGTTCTCAGGTCAAAGCCTGGAACAGCCTCAGCCCGCAGATGCTGCATGTGCCATGAGCTTTGCAGAAACTACAACCAAACTGCCAGAAGGGCTGGTGATGGCAAAGACAAGAACAGGACACAGGCTGCACTTCCTRTTAACCAGAATTTCTATCTGAGCAGTCTCACGTGAGTGCCAATGGTTATTGATGAGATACTCAGACACCTGATGATGATACGCAGAACACACACTTACCTGTGGGAACAGAGGTCGTTCTTCCCTCACTTTYTTCAGACAATCTGCTACGAGCCTCTTCATTGCTTTGGGGCAGTTCTTGTACAGCTTGCTGAGGTCTGGGGAAGCGTAGCCTCGGCCAACCATGAAAATGATCTGAAAACCACGAGCAAGCAGTACAAAAACCAGGTTACAGAAAGAGTTTCACTTTAGTGCCCCCCAAGATGATTCAACCCAGTCCCAAAGGACACCAACAGAGCTCTAGGTTTGTCCAAATGAAATAACCAAGACAATGGTCCTGCTTTGTGTCATCTGTACACCAGGGAATCAGCCAGACTGGAAATCACCTCCAAAATCATCGAGCCCAACCTTTAAATGGCRTTGTCAAAGGAGATGCACAGCTCAAGTATAGAGAGATAGAACTAATCCAGCAAAAAAGGACATTGTTTAGACAATAAGAGTCCTTCTTAGTGTTGGCAAATACATTTTCTGTTTTAATCCAAGTAAATATGGGCATTGTTAAGGATTTCCATCTTCTCCAGGAAAYACTCTATCCCTTCCTGGAAAACTTTCCTGAGAGTCAAGCACTGCCTGTTTTGCAACAATGGCAATTATTAAAGCTTGCATATAATTTCAGTATTATGAATCAAAACACTCCAATATCCCAACTTGTAGACAACTTTAAAATTAGAAAAAAACTTCCTTAAACTTAACAGAACTGGCCTCTTGTACTTGGAATACACACTATACTATTCCAGATTATAATACTGATTATAATATTGATTACAAAACTGACCATAATACTAACAGAGGCTGAAGTGTAGTGGTTTGTACCCATACACACACACTCCTCATCAGAAGATCCTGATTTTTAAAAAAGCAATAAAAACCACAGACCCCAACCAAGAATCATCAAATCAGAGATCACAAAGCTGCAACAGTTCATGTACCAAAGAAAGAGATGGCTCTACACTGGCTGAGTCACAGAAAGTTCATGGAAAGTGAATTGTTGGGAGTTTCTGGCCTTTATGTGCTTCTCTGAAATTGCTGTCTGGGTAACAGCACAGCTTACTACGACTAAATCACACAACTATTGAATATTCAAAAGTTTCACAACAGTTACTGGGTTTTTTGGCCTTAGTAAAAAAGCACCAAATCCAATCTTCCTGATGTAACAGCAGCATACTGAACACCAAAAGGGAAATTTCCCATAACTGCAAATGTATAAACCAAGATTCTACTATGCAGCAAAAGCTTTAACCTGGGAATAAATTAACAGGGCACTTATAAAATGTTTGTATCAAGAAATTTTTTTCCTTTGAGGACCTGCACTGTCAATAGTGAAGTGAGCATTCAGTSACAGATTTCCTGCTGAACCAAAGCAGGTTGTCAACAATGTTTCAGTTGTTCTGCATTTCTCGAGGCCAAGGGAATGTGCCRTGCCCAGAAATGAACTGGAATGTGCAAAGAGGGTTTTTCTCACCTGATCTCTGTTGTTGATGTGGGAATAGGGCAGCTCCCCTGTCATCAGCTCATATAACACTATTCCATAGGAGTAGACATCCGACTGGAAGCTGAAGGGGTTGCTGTCCTGCATCCGGATCACTTCGGGGGCCTGGGGAAGGAGAGAAAACCATGAACAATATTAGCAGAGACAGAAAGCTCAAGAGAAGAAGAGAATATGTGGGAAG